AATGGTAAGGAAAAGATGAAATTATCCGTGAAGTTAAACCAAATCGTGTTTATAGGCCTGTAAAATCATTTAAAAAATAAATTGTTTATTTGTTATTGTTATTATTATTAAATAATTTGATTAAAATTTGGCAAAACCCATTACAGTTCGTAATTAAAAGTCAAATTTTAATTAAAACCATTAAGAAGGCCGTGATCTACAATTATATAATTTAATTTAAACCAAAACATCACCATGTAACCTTCTACATGTCAGATTTTCACAGCCCATCATTGACCTTTGATTTCTTTGAATTCGCACATAATTATTTCCTCCCATAAATAAAAATAAAAATCGCTTGCAATTAGCCAGAATTCAAATGAACTTCCGTAACAGCCCCCGATGCGGACAGTGCCCTTTTAGGAAAAAGACAACACAAGAGGAAAGATCTTTGCATTTATAATTTCATGGCAGAATTCCTCGATAAATTGATATATGTCTGTGTGCTTCGCTGGCCAGAGCCACGCCCCCTCCCGGCCCACCGAGAGCCCGGCTAATGGCCTGGCCAATTGTCGCAAATTAGTGGAGGCCAGCCCAACACGCACCAATACCGAAGAGAGCAAGAGGAAGGTAGAGACCAGGCCCAGACCAGACCAGACCTGCCAACACACATGCAAACAGGTGAAGTGGAGTCAAGACAAGACAAACACCTAAGGCCAATCCGTCCGTATGGGCAACCCGGCTAACGGTACCACCGCAAACAGTAGACCAAGACGCAGACCCGGCCGAAGGGGCGCAAGAACGGGAAGAAGGCTAAGAAGAGAGAAAGAACAGCTATAAAGAAGTTTACTGCTACAATTGGCAAATTGAAAATTGCTCGCTGGTGGCGGCGGCGTTGGAGTTCGTTTCGAGCCAAGGCGGAAGCTTTAGACCAGACCGGGTCTTGGCCAGACCCTGAGCGGGCCCAAAGCCACAGACCCCGTGCCACCCCAACCCCCCGCTATGCGTTTGTCTGGCCGGGATAAGCTGACATCCACAACGTGCCACAGACGATGATGCATTTGCCAAGGTTCTTGTACCCACCAGCGGTTGCACACTCTTCTCATACAACTGCCTCGGCCTCTAAGCTTGCCGCACCAGACAGAGACGTTTCAATTTCAAACGACCAAGTCTAGTCGAGGCGGCTTGGGAACAAGGAGATACCTCTTACAGATTTATAAGTTTAGGAGTCTTTAGTTTTAGTTTTATGTTTCTTTCGTCATTTAATCTAATATCATTTCCTTAAAAGTTACGTTTTATCGGAAAGAGATAAAACTAATTGGTAAAAAAAGTTTCAGCTTTGATACTATGTATTTTAGTATTTAGCCTTTAATTGCTCAACTTAATCCTATAACTTTTAAAATCTAGAACCTTAAATTTCATTATAAAAAAAAGATTCCGAAAACTTTACATAAGTTATACTTCTAAAAAATATTTTAGATTAATAAAATAATAATATATGTACTTTACAAAATATACCCCTAAAAAATGTGATCCTCGAAAAAGTCATAAGCATACCCCCTCCTTTATCGCAAAAATAGTAGGTTCTTTTTGAAAAGCAACAAAACGGTCTTGGCCAGGCTAATCTGCCAGGCAGACGTTTTAATGAAGCCGCCGTCAGGCAGCATTTGCGGCAGACACTTGCGGTCGTCTTCGTCTGGCTGGTAACGGTGCCAAGTCCACGGGTCCATCAAACTCTAAATGCGTATAGAATACTACAAATCCACGCACCGGTGTCTGAGAGCAAAACGAATGACTTAAGCGAAGAACTTGACGGGCTTAGCAAAATGTGTAAGACACGGCTAAGGGATTACCCAAGACGCTGACTTTATTAAACCGCCAGAAATATGCGTAATAGCTGGGCCCAAATAAAAGTGTCACTTTCAACTTTCGCTGCCAGCTACTGGCGTTTTCCCCACCAAACTTGACCCAATTCTGCGTCGGAGGGGGAACACCCACGCCAACTGGGCGATCTCTGACGGCATGGTTCTCTATAATTAAAAAATGAAATGTTAGCTTCAAAGTCCACTTGATTTGGGAGCCACGCACTTGATTGGCACTACGTCTGTTGGCAGTATGGGCTCTCAAGGGGGAGATGGAATATGCTCGTAAAATAACAAAACAACTGAAAAGAACTGGGCCCGCGGTCTGTTTAGGCGTTAATTGCGGGTTCTGGCAAATTACAGAGTTGGCCAAGACCGATAGTAACATGAAATGCACTTTCTCTTTGCCGCCCAGTGAAAAGTGAATGAGTCCAAATGGATTGTTGTTTTGAATTGGATTTGGATTTGGAATTGAGTCTGGGTATGTGTGGGAGGGCGTAATACAATCGATGGCAGCTGCTGCTTACCTTTTGTTTAGTCGTCTAATTGCTGCCGAAGATTGCCGATCACACTGCAAAAAATAAGAGGAAAGAGAGGCACACATGAGTAAGCAAAAGAGAAATGCAAATTAGTTTATGAAAATACTTGATCAGACAATGAACTCCCCCCGTTATGGACATGGCTCTTCAAAAGGCCCCTCGAACTCTCAGACCCGTCAGCTACAAATTGACATTGTTTTTGAGACACATACCCTCCTTACATTCATTTGGCTAAGAGAAACACGTGTTGGCCGCTTTGTTGGCCGATTTGGCAGTTCTTTAAACGACTTTGATTGCCATTTGATTTATTGCCTGCAATTGTCGCACTCGTTTCGGGAAAGTGAAAACTTTCTGGCTCAGTCCGGCTCTTTCATTCGAAACTTTCAGTTTGGTGACTTAATTTCTTTCCAGAGGGCTAATGAAATCGAACTGCCGGCTAACAATGGCCCAGGCACTCTTATTGTCAGGCTTTGCCAAAGAAATTATCAAGTGCAGTTCGGCGTCGCTGGCACTTTTACTTTCATTGTGCCAGCAACTCGAACAAAACGAACATTTTATGGCCAAAAGCAGTCTTGGCCACTCTGCTCCGAAAAACAATTTTCACTTGAGTGAGTGATGCCCATTTTCCTCTTAGCATCGGCTAATGAGCCGAAAAGTCTGTCTCAAAGGGCCAAAGAGTCGAAGAGCCCGAAATTACCAAACAATTTTAAAGTCTTTGAATTTGGATTCGATTTGTATGGGAAATTGAAACTCTCACTGAGTGTGACAAACAGGGGGTTTCATTTCGGGTTTATGTAAGAAAATTTATAACCAAAGCAGAAACAATAGCGCCACAGATGTCCAACTAAAACAAATGCTTTGTTTTTAAAACACGATTTTAAAACAAAAAGTAAATAGTAATTTATATAATATTCGTAAGATAATAAAACTACCGACTCTTGAGTTTATTTAAATTTATTCCCAAATTTCTGGCCTAATCTTCGCCATAAAACTAAATGGTCATAAAGTGATGCCGTAAATATTTATGCCTTTCTGTTGAATGTCAACAGAGTTTCTTTTCTTTGTTCCCTTAAGACCAATTTATGGCCTTGTTTTGGCCAAAACAAAACGGTTTGCCTTTGAGACCTCTAACTTGTTTGTATGATTTACTATTAATGCCAATTATCTGCAGTTCTAGGCATTCCACGTAATTGAAGTGAGAATTTCGTTATAAAAAGCCACTGAAGCATGAAATATTCTTGGTAATAAAATGATAATTTGTGGGAATTCCCACGTCTTCCAAGAGCTTCCCAGCCGCAGAAGACAAGGGCATAAATTGCAGTTGACCACTTTTCCACAGTTCACTGTAGCGTGGCAGCGGGGGCGGCGGCTGTGCTCGTTGTGGCATGGGCGTGGCGGAATGGTAACTGCAACAGCAACTAGTTTGCATGCAAGGCATGAAATTATCTTCAGTTGATCTCGAGCTGGGGCGCTTGGACCTGGACATGTTTGCTACTCGAATTAAATAAACAAAAAGCCAGAAGAAACCAAACAATAGGAGAGGCAGACAAACGTATCAATTAGCAGCAGACCAATACCCGAACAAAGTAAAAACTAAATAAAGTGGTTCGAGAAATTAGATACTTTGTTGGCTTGCCCAACCAAATGGCTTTAATTTGGCTTAAAATTAAATTGAGCAAGAAGTGATACTTATCGGAAGAAAAGCTGAAGTACCGGGTATCACACAGTCTAGATGTTCAGACTATGGTATCTTTCCAAACTTTGCTTTCTTCCTGGAGGACCGATTATTATGTAGCGCAGATTTTTCAACTAACGTTCCAAATAAAACGCTTTCTAGCTGGAATAAAGGGTGTAGATTTTGTGACTTAATTTCCAATCAGCCTGTAAATTTAGTAACTCATTTTTCAGAGTAGTTAGCTGGAGTACCAGTACCAGTATAGGTATCATATGGCCAGATTTTCAAACTAATATTCAGAGTAAATATAATGGTACTTAGTGGGAGTGCCAGCCTTTTCAGAAGACTTTAAAGAATTTCTGTATTTTTATTTTCTGTATTTTATTTATCAAGAGTTACAAATCTAGTGTTCCAAACAGAAGTCTTCATAGCTATATTCCGTGTCCTTAGCATGGTCTACACTAGCCTTCTTAGCTGAAATATTTAGTTTTTAAGTGTCAATATGCTGAGGTAAAATTATATAGTCTAGATTTCAGAATTCTTTTCCCAACACACCCCTTTATAGCTGTAGTAATATATCATATATATCTTATATTCAAGGCTTTCACACTAATTTTCAAATATAAGTCTTTTTAGCGTGAGTACCGGGTATCACATTTCCGAAAAAGTATCGTATGTTGAAAAGTCGAAAATTCCAGTATAAGCTTTTCTTGACAGAAGTTTGTTAGAATCTTTATTTTAACACAATTTTTGAATCTTTATTTTTAACACAACTTTAGCAATATTTTGTTAATGTTTGGCACATATAAAAGTTTTTTATAATAATTTGGTGTTTTGATAAAAAGCGACATGCTATACTTTCGTGCAAAGTAAGTTTCCAAACAGAAGCCTTCACAATACTGTCAAAAATCTTGGCTTTGGTTTTTATCCAACCAACAACACACTCTTCCGCATATATAAATAAAATCGGTCGATATATTTTTTAGTAGATAGCCTTATATATTGATTAACAGTGCCCACGAGTGACTGGTATAATGTTTGCCAAGAAACCAAATAAGTCAGAAACCCTTATCACCGTGAAGGAGCCGGATAACAAAAACAGAAAACCCGCAGACGAAGATGCTCCAGATGGTTCTACAACAAAGAAAAGGGGCAAGTCCCCCCAGAAGAAAGAACCTAAGAAGCCCAAGAAGCCGAAAAAATTTCGCACTATGAAGTCCTTCTTCCGCAGCGAGGACATGGAACTGTGCCAGCTACTGCTCCACGTGGACAACGCATTCGACTGCATCATGGAGCTGGGACACCAGGGCAAGGTGCAGTTCAACAACATCTACGACGAGGACAGGCTTCTGAACAACCTCTACTCACGGAAGATGACATCCTGCTACGAGCAGCTACGGCTGGTGGACAACCTACACCAGCAGATCATCCAGATGCAGGTCAAGGAGATCTTCTACCCGGCCGTCGACAAGGAGGAACGCCTCCTGGAGAAGGAGCTGGCCATGTACGGGGACCGCCTGCGTCGGTTGTACGTGGAGAGTGCCGCCCTGGTGGAGCACTCCCACCGTTTGGAGCAGCGACGCAACAAGATGATCGAGCAACGGTACGCCATCACCAAGGCCAACAAGTTCCTGGCCTCGGACATGGGCAGTGAATTGCTCTACTCGGAGAGCACCATGATTAGTCTGGTGCAGGACGCCACCGTGGCTCCGGTGAACACGCAGCTGAACTATGTGATTGGCACCATCCGGGCGGACAAGTTCTACAGCTTTGAGCTGCTGCTCTACAGAATGTGCGGCTTCAATCTGATCATCCGGTTTGCCGAGATACCCACCCCCGTCACGGAGCACCACCGCGAGAAGCGGTCGGAGAAGGTGCGCAAGTTTACGATTCTCATGATGGCCACCTCGGCGATCATCTGGACAAAGGTGCTAAAAATCTGCACCCACTACCATGTCAACATCTACGACTGTCCCCGTTCGTCTCGCTTGCGGGAGGAAAAGGTCCGGGAGCTGGCCAGCGAGGTCTCCAACATTGAAAAGGTGCTGGCCGAGGCGATGGCTATGCGCCGCCAGATCCTCGAGATGGCGGCCCAAGATCTCTTTATTGTGCGGGTGAATCTCCGGAAGGCCGCCAAGGTCTACGATGTCATGAATCGTCTGAGAATGATGGGTGGCTTGGAGGCGCCCAGGTAAGGCTACGACCGGATAGCACCAGTTGCCGTATAGCTCAGACCTTCATGTTTCTCTCCCTTCTTAGCTTCCTCTTAGCTGAATGCTATGTCCCAGCTTCAGATGTCCAGGTGGTCCGGAAATCTCTGCGCCAGGCCTCCCGACTAAGCGGCGGTGCTGATAAGAATGACCAGAAGGAAAACCCGCCCGCCAAGTCAGATCCGGATCAGCAAGGCGCACCATCGTCAGCTAAGGAGGATCCTGACGACGATGAGACCGAGACCGAACTGGGCAGCGTCAACTATAACGGAAAAACGGAAGACGATAGTGAAAACGAGACTGAATTGAAGGAGGACGCCAAGATGACACCCCATTGGGACCACGAAGACGTCGAGCGCGATTACTTCAACTTTGAGATGATAACTACCGAGGAGGTATCGTCGCGCCCCATCCTGATGAAGAAGCACCGCATGGTGAATCACATGCCGCCGACCTACTTTCGGGTCAACAAGTTCACCCGGGGCTTCCAGAACCTGATCGACGCTTACGGGATTGCGGATTACAAGGAGCTGAATCCGGCTCCGTACACCATCATCACGTTTCCCTTCCTGTTCGCCGTCATGTTCGGAGACGTCGGACATGGCATTCTGCTAGTCGTCTTTGCCGTGATTCTGATCTGGAACGAAGAGGCGATCGAGATCAACCAGATAAGCGCCGTGTCGGAGAACGAGATCCTCAACATCCTGTTTGCCGGCAGGTACATCGTCCTCCTCATGGGCTTCTTCTCCATCTACATGGGCTTCATATATAACGACTGCATGTCCAAGGCGATCAATCTGTTCGGCTCCAGCTGGAGCTGTCGCTACAACCAGGAGACCGTCTCGGATGCCATGAGCCAGTTGACCTTGGATCCCTCGGACAAGACTTTTTACACCGGGAATCCGTATCCCTTTGGACTGGACCCTGTGTGGCGCTATTGTGGCCAGGACTCCATCACCACCACCAACTCCCTGAAGATGAAGATGGCCATCATCATGGGCGTGACGCAAATGATGTTCGGCCTGTTCCTCTCAGCTGCCAACTGCGTTCTGATGCGCAAGAACGCGGATCTCTTCCTCGTGGTCATCCCGCAAATCATCTTCATGACCTGCCTCTTCGGCTACCTGGTGTTCCTTATCTTCTTCAAGTGGCTGACTTTCGGGGGCCACAAGGGAGCTCCCTACAACTCCAGCTGCGCCCCCTCGGTGCTCATCCGCTTCATCAACATGATGCTGATGAAGAAGGCCGAGGGGGTGGACGAGCATTGCCTGCCCGACATGTTCCCTGGCGAGCGTATGGTGGAGTATGTCCTGGTGGGTGTGGCTCTGTCGGCTGTTCCCATCCTCTTGGCCGGCAAGCCACTATTCCTCATGCGTCGCCGCAAGGTGCAGGCTGCCGAAGTCCGAGGATCCCATCGATCCCGAGATCAGCGCCGGCAGACCATCAAGGAGATGCGCTCCACCATGCACTACACCAACGACCTGGACGAGTCGATCAGCGAGTCTAGTCGGGCCCGGGTCGTAGTCACAGAGGAGGAGTTCGACATGTCTGAGATCTGGATTCACTCGGCCATTCACACGATCGAAACGGTCCTGGGCTCCATATCGCACACCGCCTCCTACCTCCGGCTCTGGGCGCTCTCCCTGGCCCACGACCAGCTGAGCGAGGTCCTGTGGCACATGATCCTGGACGAGGGCCTTGCTCACAAGGGCTCTCTTATCGCTTCGGTGCCCGTTCTCACCGCCGCCTTCTTCTTCTGGGCCATTCTTACTGTGGCCATTCTGGTGATGATGGAGGGCCTTAGTGCCTTCCTCCACACTCTCCGCCTGCACTGGGTGGAGTTTCAGTCCAAGTTCTTTGGCGGCGCCGGCGAGAACTTCAAGCCCTTCGCCTTTCCCCCGTCGAACCACCGCAGCTAGCTTTTACTTTTGTTTTTTTGGTAAAAGCGAGCCGAGTGCCTTGCAATTTTAAAATTTGTATATTGCTTACTAATATACGAGTATGGATAATGATTAACTAGAACGGCTTTATCTTCTAGGCTCTGGTAGATAGGATGGGCTTTGTCTAATAGACCTCTTCAGACCAGGAATTCATCTTCAAAAGGCTTAGCACTGAAACATGTCTTAAGCCTCCTCGAGAGGCGCTTTAAAAGAGCCTCAACTCTTCTTAATTTCTGGTCTTTTTCGGATGAACCCTTGGCTTTGGCTCCCCCCGTATCTTTTTGGCAATTAACTTTGGCCAACAGCCGGACAAGGTCTACCCACGCCCGCTACTGCGGGCTTGGACGCGGACATTCCTTTGCAATTAGCATTGGCCCGGCTCCATGCAAAAGGCCATAAACCAAAGCTGGCTTTAAACAATTTCCATTTGTTTGCTTTATGCCATTGCCAGCTGCTAAAGCTGTTGCAGTTACGACTGTGGCAGTTGTTGGTGTTGCAGTTGCCGTTGTTGTTGCAGTTGCCGTGGCTGCCGCTTTGCCAGGCTAACTTCCTTCGATGCGGGCGCTGGAAGTCGTCGACCCTTTTGTTGCCGGATTTCTCAGTTCTATTCCAGCCTTATGTTCTTTTTGCAATACCCTGTATTTTCCCAGGGAATGAGGGTAGATTATAGAGTGATGAGTTTTGTAGGATCTTTATTAGAAAACATAAGTAAATGCAAAAAGAAACAAAGCTGAAGTCCTCTCTTAAACAGGTATTGAGTTTTATCTAGAAAAAAACCAGCTTTAAAGTGATATTAAGTATTTCTTCTATCCTTTGGTCTTATCCTTTGGCATTCTTTTATCCTTTGGCATTCTTTCAAATACACTGGTATTTGATGGACACTTCAATTTAAATCTAAAGGACTTCCAAACTATTCAAGATAACTTTCTAGAAGATAAAGCAAGTTTTATTTGGATTTGCTATAATTTATATTAATTATTCCTGGATATTTTCCAATTCGAATAACAATTGTCTTCTTGTCTTGTCTGTTTTCCTCATACACCTCGGAGCACTTTTTTGTGAATATGCCGCTGTGGTTGCCGCTTGGCCTGCCATTAACACCCACGCCAGCAACTTTGGTTACTATTGTCGTTGCCGATGCAGTTGCTAGTTGGTTGTTGGCTGTGTCTTGTTGCTGGCTGGTGGCTGAGGAACAAGAGTTGGCATAAATTATGAACAGCAACCGATGACGCATGCAGGCCGGCCTAAGTAGACTGGCTCGTGCATAAATAACTTTCGTTGGCCACATGGCCCCGGTTGACTCGGCCTGGCTTTATTAGATCTCTGGTAAGCCGAGGCAAGGTACAATTGTGTGGTATGGAAACAAAGGCAGAACTAACTCAGTGCCCGTAATGTGCAGTAAGTTTCATGACCAGAGCAGGTTTTCTACGCAATTGCTGGCCCAAAACAGGCTTTGACTCTCTTTGGCTTTGGCTATAACTTTAAACCGCAGCACGCGCCATTGTTTAGGTGGTGCAGCAGCTTCAGCTTCAGCACCAGCAGCAGCATTAACAACAAAAACAATAGCAATAACAACGGGTGGGTCAAGTTTGTTGCCTAAGTCTTTTGTTTTTGCTTATACTTTCGTTGGATGAGGCCAATGTGCGTGGCTCTAATGCTGGGCCCAATGGCCAACTGCTTAGCACTTTTATGGCCAACAATTGTCAAGTCTCTAAGGGTCTGCTAGCCAGATTGCATTCATTGCAGCCTAACATTGATACAGTTAACAAAAGAGGTTGTTTTTGGTTAGTGTTATTGTTATATTATTAAACAAACAGGCAACAAAGTTTGTTAAAATAATGTATATTTAATAATTTCTTTAGTACTTCAGATTTGTTTTTATAATTTTATTAATCTAATTTTCAATATACTTTAGTAGTAGAAAACATTATTTCCATAAACAAAAATCGAAAGCCCTTCTAAGTTTGTTAAACCCTTATATAAGGAATAAAATCCTAGTTATCCAATCATTTTTTTCTGTGTACACCGCGAGAAAAGCAAGGTCGCATTGTTGTCTGGGGAGAATCAATTTGAGACTTAAATGCGGATGGCTGTCCGTTTGGTTTTCTGCTCGTCAGTCGCATCACGTCACGTCACAATACGCTCATGGGTCGTCAGTTTTTTTTCGAGGGCCCTGCCGCTGTCCTTTAAAGGGCCCTGCCGCTGTCCAGAGTCCCCTGCTAACTTAGTTGCTGCTCCCATGTTGCTGTTGTCATTGTTGCAGCAACATCAGCAGCTGCACTAGCAACAGCAAGAGCCACTGCAACTGCAACAGAAAAGAGCCATTGTTGGCTAGTTCTGCTTTTGGGCCTTTACATGCGCGGCCATAACAAAAAAGGTGTTAAATTCAGCCCATGCCTGGCCAAAGCCCAGGTAAAAAGCCTGGCCAAAAGCCAGGGCCCAGAAGAAAAGTCAATGTACGCTCAAGAATTTGTTGGTTCAGCAGAAGGACATTTCCAGCTCCAAACTTGGACACTGAAGCACCTCAAGTGCTGGCACACACTGCGAAAAAGTTCAGGGAATACGTTATTGCTAAATTAATGAAATACTTTATATTCGTTAAGATGTATTAGTAAGCAATGATTAGATCACCTTAATCTTTTAAATGAAATCATGACGAAATGTCAGCCACAATTTTAGCCAAAATAACAACTCAGACAACAACAATCAAGAAGTAGAAACAATAACAATCAGATACAACTGTAAACATCTGTGAACTGCCAAGGAAATTAATTAGCTGGCAACACAATTTGTTGGCTTTTGCACATTTTGGCCCATTCCGTTTGGCAAACGGGCTGTCAACTGGAAAAATGCCATTTAATTTGCTACAAATTGTGCATTGTTTTCGACTTTAATTAAAATTGTCTTTTGTTGATCTTCATCTTCTTTAGCTCTTGAATTTGCTTCTTTTTTTTGGAGAACGGAAGCTGACAATTGACCATTAAAAAATGAAGAAAAAACAGACAAGATCTTGCTAATGCGTAGGGGAAAAACTTTCACCCGGGCCACAAATGTTTTAATTAAAATTGGCTAAAAATAAACAGAGACAGGGCTGGAATGGCAAGGAAAAGAAATTAATTTAAACTAGGTATTTTTTGTGTAACCGGTTGGGATTTCGGAATTCGCAATGCTCGGCGGGAAAAGTGAAATTTCTCAGGCGAGTGTGGGGAGCTTGAGAACCCAATTTTGGCATTTAGCAGTTCATTAGCAGAATAGCAACAAAATATGCATAAAATTTAATCAGATAATGCCAAATACAGGCCATCAGTCGGAAAGTGAAAGACCACCTGACAAAAATAAAGCACGTACAAGTGGCCATAAATATTGAAAGAAATTTGGAAACATGAATAAATTCGAATGGAATTCGTGGGTCAAAAGGTAAAATTTCACAAGCAAGCGTTAGGTAAACAAACGAATTAAAAATGAATATTAATTAAAACAAACTACCTTGCTTAACAGTAGCTGGCTTTGTGTCGCACTGCCAAGATAAAATCTAAAAATTACAAGAAAAGCCCTTAGAATGCGACCCTCATTAAAAGTAAGTTCGTGTTTTAATTCTTTTGATCTTGAGGCGGCGACCACCGGAGAACTTTTTCTCAGCCAGTTTCCCGCTTTCTTATTCCTTTGTCTTTCTGGCCAAGAGTCATGCATAATGAGAACCTGATGTATGGATGGGGGATGTATAGTATATCCCCCGTATATATGTCAATTACGGCACGATCTTTTGGCAAATCGAGGGCCGCCGTCTGACACATTTCCAGTTCCACAGCCACTGCCAGAAGCCTGATACCGATATTTATGTCACCGGCGACAATAAATTTGTCAGCTTTTGTTAACCGTTAAGTAAACGCAATGCATGATTTGTGTTTTGTAATGAGGGCGAGCGAGCCAGCTCAGAAAACGCCAAAAAGCCAAAAACCGAGAATCGAAACGAAAATAACAAAACCAAGTCTGTCGGCGAAGATGAAGTCGAATTCGAGTGGGGGGAGTGAGGGCGAAATACAAACAAAACGGGTTTGCGTTCAGTTCATAAAATATTCATGATATGCCAAATGTTTTAGTTTTATTTGACTTTTTTTTTGGCATTTTTTTGCAAAGTAAAATTGCTAAAGATTGAGTCATGGAACTTTCAATGGGGACATCAATATTTACTGTCAATCCTGGCAAACAATTAATAAAAGATTAACAAAACTCATATTTTTTTTAATATTTACCAATATATTGATGTTTATCGTTACCCAATTGTTTAATTATTAACAAAACATTCGGAAGTGTAACCATTTAAGCGACATTGACCACTCGAGTGCTTTAACTCGAGGGCCCTTCAAAAACAATGTTTCGACTTGGACTTTTTGAATGCAATGGCAGCAGCAGCACCATTGGCCTGACCTTCAGTGGGCCACTTGCCACTTGAGGCGGATTGAACTGCCGCACAGCTTCTGCAACAAAAACATCAACAACTCCGTCTCGAATTCGAACACGAAGTTCGTTGGCTGTCAGCCAGCTGAGTGACTGACATGCAACACCAACAACTGCAACATCAGCAGCAGCACTAACAACAATAGCAATGCCAGCAACAATGGACAATAGCGTGCCACAAACACCCGAAAAACACCAATTGGTGTCAAAGCAACAAAATGCTACCGGATTGCAAACTGCAACTGCCAGCCAGCCCCTGCTTAGGGAATTTCTCGCTGTTGAAATTAGCAATAAATCAAAGATTGCTATTCGGAAGGCCCGGAAAGCCCCGGAAAGCGGGTAACTAATTTCACTAAAGAGGAACACGCGGCACTGGCGGAAATATTTGTTTAACTAGGTTTCACTGAAGAATTTATTCCATAAAATATTTAAAAGGCATTTGAAACATTCAACATTTTATATAAAGATTTTTTGAAAGTATATTTATTTATTGTAAAGTTGATTATATAAAATAATTAATACTAGATGTTTACGCTGCCTTAAAATTTTTCCGAAGTAAATAATATTTTTCTCGTTTCATTTATATAAGATATTTTATAAGTAGTATTTGCCTTTGTC